GCTGGCACGGGGAGGGACAGGTCTCTCCCTGCCTGAGGCAGTTCAGCCATCAGGCTTGGGGACCTTAAATGGCCGATGTCAGGGCTACAAGATGCAGGAGGGCTGCCTGTCCCACTGCGGGCATCACCTGGCTTTGCCCGTTGGGACACCTGGGACAAGCAGTGGTCACCGGCAGGGCTGTGGTGTGATTACAGACAGAGCATCTGGCGCATAGTAGGTGCCTCGCCGAAATGGCCCCTCCTTCCATGAGCTAGTTTCCGCTGTAGAAGGCTCTACAAGCAAAGGTCCTGGAGTGGACCAGACAGTGCTTGGGGAGTTCTCTCTCATGTCACACCTCAGCCATGTCAGGTCTCCGGACCGAGATCTGAGAAATTTAGAAGAAAAAACATAAATGTCACAGTTGTCCCTGAAACAATGTTTCCTTTCGTTTAATCTCTTGCCTCCTGGAAAACTTTTTCCTGAGTTAATATTTCCGGAGAGAGTGATCAGGCGGTCATGGATCTTCAAGGTGCCACCCCTCGCTCCTTCATCCTCCTCAGCAGCAGGAGCGGGAGAGGAAGGGCTGTGGGGTCCTCTGACTCCCCCCTGCGTCTTGGGGGAAGTTATCACACTTCTGGGGGAGTTATCACACCTCTCCTGGGTTAGCTGTAAAATGGTGATTGTGACAGTCAGGGCTCTCCAGAGAAACAGAACCAGTAGAATATGTGATTTATACAGATACACAGTTGACCCTTGAATAACGCTGGGGGCGCTGACCACCTGCAAAGTAGAAAATCAGCCTATAGCTTTAGCTGGCCCTGTGCACACATGGATTCCCAACCGTGGATTAAAAAAAAATACAGCTGGCGTTTGAACAGGGCGGGTTTGAACTGTGCGGGTCCACATAAACATGGATTTAAAAATTCTCATATTTATCCATCATAAGATATGCCCATCCATATATACTTGAGAATCAGTTGGTCCAAACCCAGAAATGTACACCATCAAAAATGAGCCCTAAGGTATACTAGGACTTAGGGTGAATATGATGTGTCCATTTAGCTTCTGGGTTAAAAAAGGAAGAAAGAAAATATACCACTCCGGTGAGTGATGTGGATGAAGGGGGAAGCTAGGCCTGTGTGGGGATGGGGGTATATGGGGAATCTCTGTACCTTACTCTCAATTTTTTTTTATAAACCTAAAACTGCTCTTAAAAAAAGTATCCTGATCATTTTTGAAAGATACTAAGAAACCAACTCTGTTTTGAAACTTGTAAATAAAGGGAAAGACTCAAGCATTCATTTTTCCTTTCTTATAAAAGCTGAACCACTGGGTAATCAGGTGGCAGCTATTTCTCTGCACAGACATAGCCCAGCGGATAGATGAAGAAGATTTGATCAAATGGGAATATCATCAATTTCCAGCCTCTAATGAACGAAGGGTCTAAGCGTTGAACGGAAATGGCTGCTAACAGCACAGAGACAGTACGTGCCTCTCAGTGAAAAATAGGGCACCACCTATGAAGTAGTTGTTCCCCACTCAGAAGCCCCGGAGCGGTAATCAGCTGCGCATTGGTGGGAGAGACAGAAGACGGGGCAAAACACTAATCTGGGCCACAGGAATGCAGTCGGCGACATTCCAGCGGAAACACTGCGGGACAAATGACCAGTTTCCACCGGAAACAGACTCCGAAGGTGGGGAGACAGTTGGAGGGAAGATCTTTACATTAAAGACCCAAAAGACCTATTGAAAAAAAACAAAACGATGAGCAGAGTTATACTGTACTATTTAGGAATAAACACCGTGCTAAAACTGCAAAGGGGTGCAGAAGCGATCACCGGGAAAATCAGGACAGTGGGTACACGGAGGGTGAGGCTTTGGGAGGGACCCCTAGCGGTTCCTTGCATAGCTACGAAGGTTCTCTCTCTCCGTGTGCGGTTCTTACAAGGGCATTTGCCTTATGATCACTTATTAGATTAGGTACTTGTTTTATACTGTTTTCTGGATTCGTGTTGTTTTAACTATTACAAAAATCTTAATGGCTGCTTTGCTACCATTTCTCAGAGCGAAAGGAAGCTAATAAACATGCAGCCTCATGAGAGCAGAAACCTTATCTGTCTTCTTCATTGTTGGATCCCCAGGGGCTGAATATATATTTGCTGAATGAATGAGTAAATGAGACTATAGGATCAAATGCACACCTGAGGTAATATTCCGATTGCTATTATAAACCCCAGCAAGGCTGGCGTTCCCGAGGAGTGGAAAATTGATTGTATGTTACAGACGTCGCTCTCCGGAGCCGAGCCGCCTGCCGCTGGGGCTGCACTGACGAGTGGACCCTCAGAGGAATGGGACGGGCCATCCGCAGAGGGCTGACAGCCAGGGATGTGTAAGTCCTCCTGACTGTGCGTGGGGCAGTCCTCGGGCTCTGTGCACCGCAGCACGGGTGGAGCGCAGGAGTTTAAGGTTGTAAGAGCTGCTCTGGATGGGGGGGCTCAGGGGCAGCGATCGGGCTCCAGGAAGCTGCAAGAGGACTTGTTCTGTGTTGTTTGTTGCCGAGTAACAATATTCGCACAGATGCAGCAGCTTAGAACGCACCTTTATTACTTCACGGTTCCTGTGGGTCAGGAGTCTAGACGCCGCTTCCCTGGGCTCGCTGCTCAGCAGCCAACAGGACGTGTCCGGCTTGGGCTCTCAGCTGAGACTCAGCTGGGGAAGGCTTTAGCCACTGGGTCACGGGAGCTGAGTTATACTAACAACCACGCAAGCTGGGAAGTAGAACCTTCCCCAGGCCTGGCTGACACCTCGCCGCCTAGCAGAGGTCCCAGCTAAGCTGTGTCAGACTGCTGACCCTCAGAAAACACGTTATCAGTAATCCTCGGAGCAACCTGGAAAAGTAGGAATGATGACCTCTATTTTATACATAAGGCAACTGAGACTCCAAAAGATTGAGGAACTTCAGATAAGTGGTGCTCAGGATTCAGTTTCAGCTCTGGGTTCCATCCAAAGCCCACGCGCTTTCTACCTCTTCACGCAGCTTCAAATGAAGCCGAAATATCGCAATTGCTGTGTCCGCACATCACTTTAAATAGCAGAGTAAAAATAGTCCATCTGCATGTATCCTTCCCAACCAACCCCGTCTTTTGCACACTAAGTCAATGATGCTGCTGGAGGGGACATGAGCCAACCTTGACCTGGCAGCAAGCACAGTGCCGGCCTCCCTGCATGCTCCAGGTCTGGGAGGTTGCCAGCAGAGGAGAGAAGGGAACTGAGGTGCCCACATGACAATACATCACACAGCGGCTGACCTGGACTGATGTTCTGATGTTGGCAGTTGGGCAGGGCCAAGGCCATGGACTGCCGCACTGTGGACAGTCTTTCCACCAGCAGAGAGGGAGTAGCTGCACGTCTTCCTCCGAAGTCAGCTGCTTCCCAAGCAGACAAGGCGCTACAACATTCATGTACTGGAGGTCCAGGCAGTTGGAGTGAGGAACAAGAACCCCCCTACCCACGTAAAGGTGAGGGATGTTTTGCAGAAACCCTGGAGTTGAATTTGGCTGGTGAATCTTTCGCCCTAGAATTGAACGAAGTGACTTGCAATAACAAAATCAGCAGAGGATCAAATCCCACCCTCTATGAGAAGGCAAGAGAGCTAAAATGTGAAGCTGAAACCTTCTGGAATTCTGCTAAGGTGTAGAACAGCCCTTGGCGTGCAAACCAACAGCTGCCCAACGGTGTTGCCCACTCTAGCTCCAACCCCATCACATTGGAAAACACTTGGTTGGAAATTCTGGGTGTTCAGTCGTGACAGAGGCCCTGAGGACCTGGACAGTCTAGGGCCGCGATGACCACATTGTCTTCCAACTCAGTCGACAAGTACATCTGAAGACCTGTTTCGTGTTTAGCCCTGTGTAAAGTTGGGGGGCACAGGGAGATTGCCATCTGGAGAAACAAACAAGAATCACAGTCTCTTAGAAATGTCCTAAAGGAGTTGTGACCAAGGGCACAGGAGCAGAGAGGGAAGGGAGTCTCTCAATCCACCTGGGGGACTCAAGTGGCAATGAGAGTTGAGAAGACCCCAGAAGGATGAGAGGTCTCCAAGAGGGACAGGCAGGGACGGGCAATCCGGCAGGGGAATGGCATGATCAACGACGGGAGGCGCGGGAGAGCATGGCAGGAAGGATGTTTCCCTGAAGCCCCCAGAAAGAACACAGGGCTGCCAGTGCCTGGGTCTCAGCTTCTGACTCCAGAAATGTGGAACGATGAATCTGTGCTGTCTCAGCCGCTGGTTTATGGTCTTTCGTTACAGCAGATATAAGAAACTAACACGGTATCCAATGACCCACTTTCCTCCATGATTGCTTAAGATACTATCTAGTTTGCTGATGATCGCATTTATTAGTAGTATAATACTTTTTCAACCCCGAATGCGCTAAATACCAATAACATACAAAGCGATATATATATATATTTTTTTTTTTTTTTTTTTATCCTCACCCGAGGACATTTTTCCATTTTTTGTTCAGCTAGAGCGGGAGGGAGAGAGAGGAAGAGAGAGAGAGAGAAACATCGATGTGAAGGGACACATCGAGTGACTGCCACCCGCACGACCAACCAGGGCCGGGGACGAACTGCAACCGAAGTACGTGCCCTTAGCGGGAACCAAACCCGGGTCTCTCTGTACCGCAGGCCGACGCGCCAACCGCTGAGCCAAACCGGCCAGGGCCAAAGCGATATTTTGACATGACCATTTCAAGCAAAGACAAATTTCTCCACGCAAGTTTCTAGACAGAGAATATCGCATAGAACAAATCTGAACTGCAGGACACATCTGGGAACGTATCGCAAGCAGGAGGGATGGAGAGGGAGCATCCTCCCAGCCCTCCCCTCAGGTCCGCAACAGCACCATCTTTGCATGTTTCAACCCACTCTAGCCTTTATTTTGCACTTAAGGAATTATTTTTGTGTTAAATCTTTATTTTAACGGTAATTTTAGTGAGAGGTACTTGTGAGCCCCAAGAAGGTTGAAAACTTGGTCAAGACAATGGTTCAAAAGAAGAATGTACCCTCCCCCAAATAGTATCGTCCTGCTCATTTTCCATTGGCCACCATCTACTGAGCCACCCAACTCTGAGCCACTCCTTTGGGGAAATAACGACTTTTGCCACACTCCATTCTAAGTATAAACTGCATTTATTTGCTTTCAAGTTGGTATTGGTTATATAAACTTGCTTTCATTTTTTAACTAAAGCAGCTGAGCAAAGGATGGGTCCCTGGGGGCAGGCCCAGGAATCTGCACTGTTACAAGTTCCCTGTAGAATTCTCTGATGGAATTAGTGTTTGAGGACCACGGCCTTAGGGAACAACAGGACGATATTTCCCCGGCCGTGTGTTCTCCCTCACACTTTTCAGGTCCTTCCCTTCCACTGCTAGTGTTTGCAAGGGACAGGTGATTTCATATGATTTTCATGTACCTAGGACAATTATGAGGGCAAAGCTGGGATTTTTTTTTTTAATCACATAATCAAATTAAAACGGTTTTTCTTAAGTATCCGCTTGCTTGCTCCCTTCCAATAAAGCGGTTGATTCCAAGCCGACCGCAAATGGGACAATTTCCGGATATTCAGATGGAAGACATTCAGCAGAGACACTCTTGAATGGTTGTCAAATTTTGGCCAACCTAGATCAGAGCAAGGAGAAAGCAAATGCATAATTCATCCCCATGCCCAGGAAATGTGGCATCTATTCTGATCGCTGCACACACACATACACACACACACGCATATGCACTCGCACACGCGCCCACAAACTAGCCTGAATGATAACTAGGAGAGTGGAGCTAGAACGTCAGCAACCTTTTTGTGGTTGTTGTCTTAGCCATTCTCAGCCACAGAGGTGTTTGCTCCTCATTCCAGCTTGGCATTCAGTTAATTACCATTTCATATTGTTTTCTCTCTACCACAGAAATGCCTATAGGGCACCAAGTGGATTTTTTTCATAATTCTATTCCCTAAATTTTATTCATTTATTCATTCGCTGAGTATATAAACATACCTCTCCGTCAGGACACATACAAGAGTCAACCAACGAATGCATCAAAAAGTGGAACAATAAATCGATCTCTCTCAAAAAATGTGAAAAGTGAAGTCTGTGAGTTCGAGGACTGTGCACATTGTTCACCATTGGCCAGAATGTCCCTTTCAGATGAAGGTCAGCACAGACATCCCACTTGCCAAAAATGCATTAGCACCAGCAGTCTGCATTTTGCCAACTCGTGGCTTTAGGGTACCAAAATGGGCAACGTCTCTTCTCTCTATACTTATAATGTACACAGTTCCCAAACACACAGACTTTATTTTTTAATTTTTTTAGAAGGAGGGAGAGAGAAATATTGATTTGTTGTTCTACCTATTTATGCATTCATTGGTTGACTCTTGTCTGTGCCTGACTGGGGATTGAACCCACAACCTTGGCATATTGGGACGATGATCCAACCAAGCTACTAGGCCAGGGCCCAAACTCACAGATTTTAAATTTAACAAAGAAGCCCGGCCAGTGTGGCTCAGTGGTTGAGCATCGACCCATACACTGACTAAGAGGTCACTGGTTCAATTCCCGGTCAGGGCGCATGCCCAGGTTGTGGGCCAAATCCTCAGTGGGGGGCATGCAGGAGGCAGCCAATAGATGTATCTCTCTCATCGATGTTTCTATCTCCCTCTCCCTCTCCTTCTCTCTCTAAAACCAATAAAGAAAAAAACAATTAACAAAGAAGGTGGTTGAATAAGCACTATGGTAAGAAAAGGGAGTGACTTGAGAAGCATAAAGTGCTGAAGAATCAGCACCTAATCTCATGTATGTAGAGAGCAGGGCAGGTGTGGGAGAGCTCCTCCATCAATGTCTGTGGAACTGGGTTCAGAGCTTGCCCCCCTCCTAGCTCCTCGTCCTTGATTGCTGGAACAGACTAATGAGTCATTCTTGACTCTTGATGGTAAGAACCAGGTCTCTGGCTCATTAGTGTCTGGATGTGTTTGTAAGTGAGGGAGACAGTTGCAAAATCTAGACTTTCAGGCACAGAGCCCTTGGCTATGAAGTACTGTAAGAAGCGATGCAGCAAGTGCATTCAATGTAATAGATGTTTATGGCGTATGTACTATTTTCAAGGCATTGAGAGGGTAAGAAGAAGTCAAAAGTCCTTGTTTCCATAGGTCTTAAAGGCAAAGGTGTGTGTATAGGATGCCTGGTGGGCGGGGAACAGGTAAACATGGAGAGGAAACAAAAGAACACGATAACATATGTGCACAAATAGTTAAAGAAGGGATCTTATTCCAGAAAGGAGGCTGTAGATGAGAGGGTTTCAGAAGGAAATACCATCCTGGCCCTGGCCCTGCTCTAACGACTTTTGGGAGAGAACAAATAAGGAACTCAGAATAGCTGGCCCGGTGCCCTAAAGCAGCAGGCGACATGACCCCTGCAGGGTAGGTATTGGCTCTTCCCACATTCCCCTCCCCTTCTAGTCTGGAAAACCTGCCTCCGGGTGCCCCGTGGCCTCCGTGCTAACTCCATACATGCACTTCCCATACTCCATATTAAAAGGCAACTTCTCTGCGCCCTTTCCACGTCATTCTGATTAGGCTCCGAATTCTCGAGGCCCTGGCATGCAACCCTGTCACCCGGCGACCGTGTCGCCCCTTGGTAGAGACCATAAGGTTCGACTGAGCAGAACTGGGCACCCAGTGCCACACAGAACATGAAAGTTCTCACGAAAGATTTAGTAGTTTAAGTGAGGCTACTTTGGGGTTTGACAAACCGTCTTGCCAAGGTGTTCATAGGTCATGTACAAAGGCGTCCCTGGAGAGGCTGTTGAAGATGGAGACCTCCTCAGCAATGCGGACTCAGGTCTGGAACCAGGCTGCCCAAATCTGCTCTTTAGACCAGCTCTGCGCTCGGTTCTGGAGAGGCTGTCACCAAGCCGCACTCCGCGAAGCTCCGCCCTCAGCTCAGAGCTTCCTAACAACAGGCCCTTGTACACGTTCATCTCAAAACCCACAGAGAATGGATGCGTACACTTGGCACCACCTGACACACAGGGATGTTTTCACTTCCGAATGTTGGGTTACCAAATGACTCCTTGGGTGAGAACCGCCTGTTCAGACATTGTCGGTTAGGCCGGTGCTGACCAGTGCACCAGCTCAGCCCATAAAGCCAAGCGCACATGCAGACCTGTGGCTGGTGCCACGGGAGGTGGAGAGCGGCCAGCAGCCAGAGGGAGGCGCGTGGGTATCTCAGAAGAGCTTTAGACAAAAGCCGTTCATGTACAAGGGCTAAAGAATAAGGATTTCTCAGGTGACCTCAGGACCCAATTTTCTAACTATCCGAATCAACAAAGCTTAGCTCGCCTCGCGCCTGCACCCAGAAACCTGGGATGCCAGGAAACTAAGGGGACGCATCGCTTAATGTGTCAGTAAATCAATACAGGCTGGAGCATGAAGCAAAATAAATCTTCACTGGGTTTCACTGTGATTTCAGAATTAACAAAAGATTTCGTCAACAGGGCGACACAGCGGGGAGAGCAAAGGCCGGCAGACTAATTTGAATGACAGACCTCGGTCTCCAACTATGGGAGTTGGCCTCCGGCTGCCATGTAGAAGTGACGGTAATTAACACAATCCATCTTGTCGGATGGTTCTTTGCAGGCTGTTTGAAATTCTGCGAGCCTCTCCCCGCGACCCCAGTCACCCTTGAAATATGCTGAGCCGTGGCAGCCAGCTCTCAGGGGGACTGGGAAGTGCCTGGGGGGTGGCAGGCGCATCCGTTTGTCACTGGGATCATTTCGTGGGCAGTTTGCAGGTTATTTTGGAAACTATAAGAAAACGGGCCTCTTAAGATGGGGTATTTTTTTTCTTTATTGATTTTATGAGAGATAAGACAGGAAAGAGAGACAGAAACATCGATGAGAGAGAACATCGATTGGCTGCCTCCTGCACGCTCCCCACTGGGGATCGAGCCCACAACCTGGGCATGTGCCCTGACCGGGAATTGAACGGGTGCGTGGGTCGACCCTCAACCACTGAGCCACACCGGCCGGGCAATATGGGGTATTTTTAAAGTGCGGTGCTATGAATCTATAAAAGCCCTTTAGAACTATTGAAAAATTTAAAATTCATATTATTTCCTAAGTCCTACTGCCTTAAAATTAGTCCTATCTATTTCGATGTAAGACCTCAGACAGAGGATGATAATACTGTTAGATTTTAGTGGTAACAGAAAGGCTTCTGCAGGGCAAAAAAAAAAAAAAAAAATCAGGCCCTTTCCTGGATGTGGCCACTGCCATCGTTACCGGCACAAAGCGTTCTCGGTTCATGGTCATCTTTGGCAGATGATGGTAACAAAGTGATACTTACCTAGCACAGGGGGTGGCTTTGAAGTAGCTGGCAAGGCTGAGGAACAGCAACTTGACAACATCTTGGATGAGAAAGAGAAAGTATATTAAGATGACCCAAATTAAAAGGAAACCCAGGAATCAGAGTCGTCCCTGGGGAAAGGATTACTTACAAGCAACAGTGACCGTCAGGGAGCACGTGAAGAGGCTGGCCAACACTCCTCCCAGAAACCACCTGAAACAAGACAGCACGTGGTCAGCAGAGCAAGTACGCGTTGCCAGCACACAAGACGAGGCTGCCTATGGATGGACAGTGTTAAGATTTACTATAAAACTGCAGTAATAAAGATAGTGTTGTACTGACAACGGGGTAAAAATATAGATTAATGGAAGAGGAGAGACAGCCCAGAAAAAGATCCATACAGAGACAGTCAAATGATTTTTCAGAGTTGCAAAAGCAATTCAATGGAGAGAGGATGGTTTTTTCAACCAGTGGTATGGAAACAATTGTATATCCACGTGCAAAGAATGAACCTGCTCGTGCACATCACTCCTTCATACGAAATGGAACTCAAAGTGGTCCTAGACCTAAACAGAAACCACAAAGTATAAAACTTATAGAGAAAGACAGAGAAAATCTGAAACCTGCTGCTTCACAATCTTGCCCCAAAAGTGTGTTAAACATCCGGGGTTTTGCCCTGGCCAGTTTGGCTCAGCAGTTAGAGCTTCGGCCTGTGGACTGATGAGTCACGGGTTTGATTCCGGTCAAGGGCATGTACCTCGGTTGCAGTCCATCCCCGGCCCTGGTTGAGGTCGTGCGGGAGGCAACCAGTCGATGTGTTTCTCTCACATCGATGTTTCTCTCTCTCCCTCTCACTCTATCTGAACAAAAATGGAAAGAATATCCTCGGGTGAGGATTAAAAACAACAACAAAAACATCTTGGGTTTTGCCAATCTGATGAGTGACTGTAACACAGAGTGGACTTAAAAAAAAAAAAAAAAAAAAGAATGTCTTCATTGTTTTCATTGTTTTTGTGTTCAAAATATGAATTATTGAAAGAGATTACAAATAAATACAGAAAAAAATAATCAATCCCCCACCACCTTGGAGCAGCCATGATGTAACTCTGAGAAGTACCCGCTCAGATCCTCCTTAATGCACTTTTAATTTGAGCATTTTCACTTTCAATTATATAATCTAATTTTAAATTATGTGTTGAAATTGAGCTTTCACAAAGACGCTGAAGCATATAGAGTAGAGAGCACCTCTTGGTTGTTTTTTTTTTTTTTTTTTTTTTTTACATAGCTCCTGTGATTTCTTCCCAAATCAAGATACAGAACACTTCCAGCATCCTACAGTTTCCTTTGTTGTCCCACCCGACTCTGTCGGCCTGAATTAACCATCATCCTTACAGCTGTCGTGACTGATTCGTTTGGCCTTTTCTTGAATTTTATAGGCACATGCGATCATACAGACTCTTGTATCTGTCGTATTTCACTTATACAATGTCTTTGAGAGTCGTCCACACTGTTGCCCATGTGAACAGTTCTTTTTTTTAACCTGGCCGGTTTGGCTCAGAGGTTAGAGCGTCGGCCTGCGGTCCAGAGAGACCCAGGTTCGGTTCCCGCTAAGGGCACATACCTCGGTTGAAATTTGCCCCTGGCCCTGGTTGGGTCGTGTGGGTGGCAACCACTCGATGTGTCCCTTTCACATCGATGTTTCTCTCTCTCTCTTCTCCCTCCCACTCTATCTGAACAAAATATCAAAAAATGTCCTCGGGTGAGGATAAAAAACAAAACAAACAAACAAACAAAAAACACAATTATTTACTTAAATAACCTTCTGATGTTAGAATAGCTTTAGATATACAGCGATGTAGCAAAAAATAGTACAGAGGGTTCTTGTATACCCCTCATCCAGCTTCTCCTATTATCAGCACCTTACAGTACACAGCTCATTCATCGTCATTAAGGAACAACATTGGTGCATCACTATGAATTCAACTCTAAACTACATTTGGACTTTACAGTTTTCCCTAATTTATCCATGTTGCAAGAACCCATCCATGACACCATAGTTCGTTTGGTCATCATATCTCTCTAGGGTCCTCTGGGCTGTGACAATTTCTCAGACTCTCATTGGTTTTGATGACCTTGACAGTTTTGAAGACTACTGGTCAGATCACCTATTGACTATCCCTTATTTGGGGTTTTTCTCATGGTTTGACTGGGGTCTGGAACGAGAGAGGTGAAGTACCATTCTTACCACATCGTGTCCAGGGCACATGCTGTCAACAGAACTTTACCCCTGTTGACATTCACCTTGATCATCTGAGGTCGTGTTTGCCTATTTTCTCGTCTGTAAAGTTACCTATTCCTTCTCTTTCCGTAGTGTATTCTTTGGAAGCAAGTTTCTAAATGTAGCTTGTACTCAAGGGATGGGGAGTTAAGCTAAGGGGGGGAGTATCTACAGAAATTAACCTAAGAGGACTATTATATCAGCATCCCCGTGAAATACAGGAAACCGTTCCAGGATCAACAAGGTTTAGGGATGCCAAGTTAAACAAAGCCGAATGGGTTTCTTCACACTATGGTCCTCCAACATGGTATACGAGTCAGGGTTTTGCAAATTTATTTTTAACCACAGGACCTCCCCCCGTTTTTGTTCTTTGGGCTCATTGTGATCTAAAAATACTTCTCAAACCCATAGTTATCTGGGAAGTTCATTTAAAAATACTCCTCCTGCCCTGGCCGGTTTGGCTCAGCGGTTAGAGCGTCGACCTGCGGTCCTGAGAGACCCGGGTTCGGTTCCCACTAAGGGCATGTACCTCAGTTGCAGTTTGTCCCCGTCCCTGGTCGGTCGTGCGGGTGGCGGCCACTCGATGTGTTCCTTTCACATCGATGTTTCTCTCTCTCTCTCTGTTTCTCTCTCTCCCTCCCACTCTACCTGAACAAAAAAATGAGAAAATGTCCTCGGGTGAGGATAAAAAAAAAAAAAAAATACTCCTCCTCACTAGATCTAAATTAGTATCCCAAGGGATTGGATCCCGGACTTTGTATTTAAAAACACAACTCCCCTAAGTGACATGAGGTATTTGACCCTCAAGAGGTGGGACCTGAGAGCAAGGAGCACCTGCGAAGACCCCAGGACTGTACCATTCCTCCCTGCTTCACTGACTCAACAAATACCGATGAGCCCCTGGCACCGGGGATACACTAGTGAAGAAGACACGCAATGTCTCGGCTCTCGGGGAGTTCACAGTTTTGGGGGGAGAAATAGATCATTAACGTTTATGCAAGTGAACGTATACTAAGTGCTCTGAAGAAAAGTAAAGTGAGGTGTGTGTGATAGAGAGTGGTAAGCTGTTCATGCTGGGCTGTCAGGGGAGGGCTCTCTGATGATGTGACATCGGAACAGATTCCGGAAAGAAGGAAGGACATGCATTGTGAGGCTTTCTGGAGAAGACTGTAGTAGGCAGCAGAGTGAACAGCAAGTGCAAAGGCCCTGAGGCATGAGGGGCTTAGCACAGAAAGGCCTGGAGACTTGGGCAAGAAAAGAACAGGAAGGACATGCTTGACAGAGGGTAGAAACATGCCTTTAGTCAGGCAAGGCCATTATGTGCTCTGAGATGCTGAGTGGGCATCCCTGGAACAGAAACTTTATGTTAGGGTATAAAAATATAATGGAAAGGTGGAGTCCCAGCAGGACTCCAAGTCTCCTAGTGGGAACTTTAAGTGCCCTTGAACTCCAGGTGGAGGTACTTAGTCTGCATTCGCAACAGAGAGTCGCTGAGGATTTAAACAAAGGGTAGTAGATAGTAAACTCCACTTTCTAGCAAGAACATGTACTTGGGTATGCTTTGTGAGATGAGGAGAGGAGGGAGGTGACAGATAGAGGAGCATTTGTCATGGATAGACAGATGTGCAAATCTTAACCACAGAGCTCCCTAAAAACGCTTTGTGGAATAAGGCAAGTTAATCACCAATCAATTCCAGTTTCATTAATTATGAAACACCACTGCATGAAAATAAAATCTGAATTACCTTGCACATGCAGAAATGATCAAGCATGCAGCAAGCAGAATTGTTTGAAAGGAGATCTCTCCCAAGAAACTGGTTTCTGATAGGAAAAATAGAAATCAGTGAGTTAGACACCATCGCTGATTAAATAATGTTGGAGCAGCACAATCATACTGAAACTTCTACACACTAAGAAGAGAGTTTTCAGATATATGTCATCCCCAACAACTCGTCAGAAGTAACAAGATAAAATTATCAAAGGCTAGAAAAATTCTGCAAATAATTAGATTTTTTTAATCATTAAAAAATACATTATTATGCTCCATAAACAGTCTGGGGCTCACCTTTTACTTTAATGTTGGGGAGAGGGTTTGTGGAATTTGTGCTAATGTTAGACATCGAACTTGGACAATGGCGATGCCTAAATTTATAGAATGCCTTATAATTCATGGAGCATACATCGGCTCATCCAATCAACACAGCAAACCTAGGAGGCAGGAACCATTATCACAACTTCTAAAAAGGAGATGACATTGTCCAAGGTCACACAGCTATGAGAGGCCAGAGTCAAGATTTATTGGTTTTTCTAATTTATTTTTTTCTTTATTGATTTTTTTTTAGAGAGAGAAATAGAAACATCCATGAGAGAGAACATCAAATTGGCCACCTCCTGCACGCCCCCCACTGGGGATCGGCCCACAACTGGGGCATGCGCCCTGAACGGGCATCGAACTGGCGACCTCTCGGTGCATGGGTCGATGCTCAACCACTGAGCCACACCGGCCGGGCCAGAACCAAGATTTAAAAACCCCATCTAGCCAGAACATAATTTTTGTCTGAAATGATTAGGAAAAGAGTATTGCAACTTTGCATACTGGGAGTCTCTAAAGGGCAAAAAAAAGGGAACGTACCTCGGAGCTGTCTGGCCTTGCAAAACCCTTTGCTATCGATACAATATTGCTGTTGAGCCACAGCGGGAATGAAGTTCTCCAGCAGTGATAAGCATGAGTTAAGCCAATCAGAACCCTGAGTGTTATTCTAATCTCCTGAAAGAACTCAGAGCTGGTTTAAGGAGTACCACAAAAAGATTTAGAGGAAAAGTATAAACAGACCCCAGCTTATTTGCCAAATAACTTCAAAAGCCCAATTTTGCCACAGTTGAAAACTTGGAATGACTTTGTGCTATGAATGCATTTATTTTTGCTATTTATGCTACGAATGAAGACTGAGTCAGTACCTACGACCCACTTAGGCCGTCATGCGGGTGGGACACTGGACACTGGCGATGCAAAATACAGCAGCTAGGAATGATGTCACTGCACATGCACAGTAGTGCATGTGCCATGTGAAGTAAGTAAGTCATCATGGGTTCAACCGAACACTCAGTCATCTTTCTGAAGTGTGTTTCTATTCTTAGCCTCCTCCAATTTCATGTCGAATTTGGAAAACATTTTCTCACAGAAACAAGTCTAGCTTGACAGACTCGCACAGATCACTAGACTTGAATGTCGAAGAATGACTGGGTTTAAAGTCATGTTCTACAGAGATATGAGTTATGAGATTTTGGACACGGTGTTCATTGATTTATCCTGTCAGTAGCCATTTACTTAGTACCTAGTTTGGTCTAGCTGAAGTGCAACCTCCTTCGGGAAGCCTTCCGTGATTGCTTCAGTTCCCCGTGGCCCTCAGCCAGGATACGTGGCTCATGCATGTCACCACAGTGTCATCACAACGAGATGAAATCGCTGTTCTATTTCTCTGTTTCCCCACTGGACTACAAGCTCGCAGAGAACAGTTGACATCTATTTGCTGTTCTTTGGTGGCAGTGCCCATACTTTCCTTGGGGAACCACCTCTCCCTTCTCTTTATTCACGGCTCAGGTGAGAGACCTGTTCTGTCCCAGCATTTGGGCCACCCTACGCCATTTGGAGCTTCACAGACTTATCCACAGTGACTGCTTTTGTCATGTAAATGAGATTTAGCAAAGCTTAATGTTTTGCCAAAAGTCTTCAGGGTTTTTTTAAAAACAAATAAAATATGGCAAATCTGTTCCTCCTGATGCCACTAGGGTGACACCCCAAAGGCAGCCATTCCTTGGGCATGGGCAGCACCTTGGCCCTACCTTCCTCACACAGGTGGACGGGACACATTCGCCATCTCTCAGTTCCCTGGAAGGAAGAACCATTTGGGTGTGGCAAAGATTAAAAAAGAAAACTCACTTGACTGATCCAGAATGTTCCCTTGGCAATGTTCAGAAGCCACCCACGGGGACCAGAGGGATGCATTGTGGGAGTTTTCTCCTGGAGTCTGAGATGTGACGTGGCCCGAGGAGGAGGCTTTCACAGACTCTGCCTTCGGCTTCTCCGACTTCCAGTCATCAGCTAGGGAACAGGCGAACCCACCTCCTGGAAAAGCAAGAGGGCTCCGTGTGCATGTGTGTGCATGCACACGTGTGTACCCAGTGACTCTCGATGCACTGTGGCTGGCATTGGGAGGGACATGGACCTCTAGAGGAGATGGCAATTCTATCTGTCACCATCTTCAAACATTGAAGAGGAAAGGGATCTTCAGTTAATGGAGACCCACAAAGGCCAGGGACCCGAGGTTTGGTGAAGGAAGCCGGTGCCAGTGTGGACAGAACAGAGACAGCTGACCCAGGGAGCCCAGAGGTGCACGAAGCTGGGGAACTGACTGAGGGCAGGTCCCAGAAGGCGTGGACTTCAGCTGAGGCATTTGGAATGCACGCCCCAGGCAGTGACATGGGCGGGTCTCTGAGTGAGGGTGGCTTCTGATGCAAACTTCTGTGCATTTTCAGGTAAATAATGTGGTTTTGTTATATGATAAACATCCAGGTTGTTCTGAAAGAAATCATGATACATCAGAAAGGCTTTCTCTACTTGGCTTGCTGTCATGGGGTGTCTGGAGGCTGTGACTAAGGACATAACAGTAGAGAGGAAAGACGGAGGGACATTCACAGAGAAGACCCCAAGCCAGAGGAGACTGGGAGGTGGAGCAAGGGGAGGGGAGAAGGCAAAGCTTATGGGCGGGGCAGCACCTCTGTTCATTCGTTCAGTGCAGAGTTGTTGTACACAGCACACCCTGCACTGAGGGGCTGGGAGTGAGACGTCACAGAGACACTGCTGTGCCCTGCTCCGTGGCATGGGGAGGGACTGACATACAAGGCGACAGTTAGGATGCAATGGGGTACTTGCTACAGTGAAGGCTACCAGAAGGTATGCAGTGCAAATCTAAGAAAGAGTGTCTGCGCCTGTCTGGGGAATCCAGGGAGGCTTCACGGATGAGGCAGTACCTACGCAGAAACTTGAAGGGTGGGTAGCAGTTCTTCTAGGGAAACAGCAGGGAGAGGGCAGGCCAGCAGAGACGGGAGGAAGAGAGGGAGGAGAGGGGAGAAGGGGAGGGAAAGGAAGTAGAGAAGGAGGAGGAGGAAAGGCAACAGCCTGTCAGAGATATTTATGGGAGAAGCATTAATTAGCTCTAGAAAAAAATCACAGATCTCAGGCTGGGGTGCCACAGCTGAGGTCATCTTGTGTTTCTTTCTTAGGACTGGCAGAAATAGAGCGGGAAGTCCTGACCCGTCCTCCCTGCCTGAGTCCTCTATCCATTTGCAGTGGGACTCCTGGGGCTCTGGAAATGCATTCCAGTTGCAGAACTGGGGTCTCGGGAGCTGGCTGAAGAAGAAATTGCAACTAATGAGGAAAGGTGTCTCGACACAGCTGTGAAAGGGGTGAACTAAGGATAAACAAAATAGGCAACAACAACCAAAAATTCCTTTTAGGCTGAAAAATGAAGCAAGAGAAAATTAGGGGAAGTAAGTTTTGATTGCATCCATTGCCCAGAGAGAAAACAGCAAAACAACTTAATTTTGAATTCTTGAGTCTTCCTAACCAGGCTCCAGTTCCAGAGGAAAATAAATTGCTGATCAAAGTCACGGGGCCTTGGGTAAATTCGGAAAACAAGAAGTCTGGGGAAGATCTGATTACTCTTGACAGCCGAGAGGAGAGATTTCAAAGTCCTGTGGGCATGCGGATTGACTAATTACTGATTTTGGAGGGGGTGGTTTGATTTGTTATATTTAGAAGATATTTGGAAACCTTGAGCATTTTTAACAAGACACCTCACACATGTGCGGCTCTGCTGTGGTCCAATTGCTGTAAAGTAGTTTGGACATATTTTCAAGAGGCAACTATGGGAAAACTAGCTGTGAATTTCCAAATCCGTGAACGCTGACTTCACAACAGTGACACCCAGACGCTAGTCACCCGGGCATCATTCTCCTGATTTTTGTAGTATCCCGGAGCCTCTTTACCCCTAGACATGTATTATTTTCCTCTAATCATCCCATTTTAGGCTTTGACTTTAAAGGACACCTGACATAATCATTGACAGGCCCTGAAGTAGAAATACATGTAAAAATAAGTATAGTGAAAGTGAGACCTTACTTAATTTACACTGAACACCGTTTTAGCAGAAAGCTCTGAGCTTGTTCTCTGCTGAAAGAACCTTGTTAAAACGAAAGACGGAGGTGCAAGGGTCTTCAAGCTACTGAGGCAGGATTGCGAGGCTGGGAGGAGGAGCCAGGCTTCTTTGCCACTGTGAGATCCGTTGCCAGCCCACGCTGGGAAACAGTGCTTTGGAACTGGGAAGAGGCCTGCCCCCTGCACCAGCCTAGGAACAAGGGATGCAAACCTTCAGCGGCATGCGATTGGCCCCACAAGCCACTTGCGCAGCAGCACTGCCAATGGGAGGAAGACAGGGCTTAGAAAGACCTGAGCATCCAGTGTAGGCAAGTCCTTGGAGATGATGATGGTGGGCGCTGGGAGGGCGACCTCGGGAATAGGGGGTGAGTGGTGATGCCTGTGGGGTTCCTCTTGGGGTGATGAAAACGTTCTGGAGTTAGAAAGTAGTCATGATTGCACAACCCACCTTGTACCAAAAAAAAGTATATGGGGGTGTCTGTAGATTCCTATTATATTTTGAAAATGAAATGTATTTTAATAAACACTGGCTTTATAGTTATTCCAAATTGTGTAAACATTGTTTGGGACATCCTCTATATGTGTGTGTATATGTGTGTGTGTGTGTGTGTGTGTGTGTGTATTTTTAAATCACCTAATTCTACAAATTCAAATTGTATGGCATGTGAATTATGTCTCAGTGAAAAAGTAACGAGTGCTCCTTGTTTCCATAGGTATTTGTGCCCGTCTGTCAGGGATGCTGACATGACCCCCATGTGACCTTCCGAAGGAGGATTCCACACATACCTTGTCTACTAGAGACTCCTTTAAGGCTACAGAACACTTGGACTAACTTCTATATTAAGCTTTCACCATTAACCTGTGTGTGTGTGTGTGTGTGTGTGTGTGTGTAATAGCTACATGAGGCTGAAAATGGAACTCTGTTGTTTAATTTATATTCAACTGATTGGGCTAGCATTGGGTCATCACATTATGTAAATTTCAGGTGTACAGCTTTATAATACAGCATCTGTATACTCCTTTGTGTGCTCACCGCCCGAAGTCTAGTCTCCTTCCGTCACCGTATGTTTCGACCCCCTTTACGCTCCTTGCCCTCTCCCCAGCGCCTTCCCCTCTGGCAACCTCCACTTTGTTGTCGGTGTCTAATGCTGTCTGTTGTCTGTTTGGTTTGCTCGTTTGTTGCTTGCTGTCTTCTGTCTCGCCCAGGAGTGAGATCACATGATTCCTGCCCTTTTCCAGCCGACTTACTTCACTCGGCATGTGACGCAAGGTCCGCCCTGTTGTTGCACATGGCAGTGTTTCATCTCTGCTTCGAGGCTGACGATAGACATCTCCTTATAGTTTCTTCTTCTGTGATGTCTTCTGGGCCCCTGCCTCAGAAATCCTCCCCAAAGGGCCTTTCCTGACTGTCGCATGGCGAGCACATGTTGACGCCTGGATGTGAGTTCAGGTTGTGCTACCCACTAGGTGCGAGGCCCATGAAAAGTATCTAGTCTGCCTTAGTTTTCCCTTCTGTAAAGTGGGGATAAGACTAATATGCGCTCTGTGTTGTCACAGATCTGCCATTAACTTTTCTTCATGGCACTTACCAAATTACTGTCCTGTATTTATTTGTGCAACTATTTAACAAAGGCCTGCACCCTACCCCAGTAAACTAGAAACAAGGGTGATGTTGTTTGTATTCACCCTGTATCCCCAGACCTAGAGCAATGCCTGGCAGATGGCAGGTGCCAATAAAGGCCCATTGTTTCCTTCCTCGTAGCAAGAATAATTGTAACTACAAATTATTGAGTATCAAGCATTGAACTATGCCTGATATTTATCATTCCATTTAATATTAACATGTGCTTTTGAGTTTCCATCACTGTATTTTATATACATACATTGATGTATGTATATACATATTTACATATAATAATATTATATAATGTGTATTACAGAACACATATATATGATATATCCAATATATACACACAACATATATCTCAACAGGAATATATCATATATTAGTATCATATATACCGAGATACATTATACTATATAAATAAATTATTATCATACTATGCATGCCTATCTTGTTTTAAAAATGAAGACATTGAATTTAGCAAAGCTGAGTAACTATCGCAATGTGTCCAAAGCAGGACCGGCACTGTGACTCCAGCACCTTTTCTCCACCCGTATCCCGCACAGAAGAGACACGTGCACATTACGTTCCAGATTTTAGCAACTTAATAATTTACACATTTAAATTTTCAGCTATTTTGCAGGACATGGACACATATGTATTTGGATCATCGCCTGGCTGGGGTGGCTCAGCAGTTGAGCGTCAACCCATGCACCAAGAGGTCGCCGGTTCGATTCCTGGTCAGGGCACATGCCCAGGTTGTGGGCCAAATCCACAGTGGGGGGCATGCAGGAGGTGGCCAGTTGATGTTCTCTCTCATCGATGTTTCTCTCTCTCTCTCCCTCTTCCTTCCTCTCTCTAAAAATCAATAAAGAAAAAGAAAATTAAAACAAAAACAAAAACAAAAAATGTGGCCCATCTTCTCTATCAACATGACTGTCGTCTCTGGGTTTTAGTTGGTCCTGGACCAGTGTTGCACTGCACTGCCCACTTAGAAGGGTTTCACTACGGGAAAGAGGATTCCGACTCACCATTTCCATTGCCATGGTGCACGTCCAGCCTGCTGACTCTCTCCAACCAGCTGTCCTCACCTGGGGAACAGTCACCATCACCGAAGATACTGCCGTGCAGCCAGGATTGAGAGGCACCGAGGGTGAAGAGAGAAGAGAAAGAACGGCGGATTCTCTTTTTCTTTCTAAAAACTCTGGAGAGAAATGGAAGGAGCATGGTGGGTAACGAAGAGCAGCCACCCCAGGTTCAAGGCAGAGAATTCAGTGAAAGCGATTTGAACAGAGCACATCTCTGCAATCCGTGTCCCGAAGCTCACTGTATTTGTTCCCTCTATTAATTCCACAGAAGTTTCCTATGTTTCTGCGTGTGCCAGGTGCTTGGACCAAAGTCAAGGACACCAGGATAAAAGACAAAACCTGGGGTACAAACACTTTGCAGTCTACTTGGGAGAAAGCAAGAACAACGCAGATATAGCTCATGCTTCCATAGAGCTTATTTTGTGCCACGTGTCTTTCCTAGTGGTTTACACACAGTAACCCACACTGTCCTCAGAGTGGTCCTGTGAGGGAGGTGCCATTGTTACCCCATTTTCAGATCAAGAAACTGAGGCACAAAGAGGTTGAGTCACTTGTCTGAGGTCGCAGCTGAGATAGTCACTGTGGATAGGCTCCATAGTCACTGTGCTGTGGAGGGGAGGCGTGTTCTGACGAATTGCCGAGGGGCCGCTGGTGTAGGATCACCAGGTGGAAGTCAGGAGGGGCAGTGCTAACAGGGTCAGTGGGGGCTTTGTGAGATGGGAGAGCTCTGAGCTGCAGAGGATGAACTGAAGCACGAGCAGGTCCCATACTGGATCATGCTAGGAAATGAGGCTAGAAATGTAAAAAGCAGGCTGATGATGAAGAACCTTGACTCTTATGTGAAGAAGTTGGAACTTGATGTTCACGCAAAGGGAGATCACTGAAGTGTGTCAAGGTGGTGGTGACACAATTGTTTGCCTTTCTGAAGGATTTTGACAACTCACACATCCACAGTCCCGACAATGCATCCTCCACATGGTCACCAGTGTTATCTTGCCCAGGAGAAATCTGACTATTTGTCAATGGTCCCTCTTTACCTCCAAAATAACCCCCAGACTCCTTAGCCTGGAATGCAACCCCTGCACCCTGCTTCTGTGCCCAGTCTTCTCTCTTGCAGACCAGCCCTGTTCACCCCAAGTTATATTACTACCAAATGACTTGCTGTTCCCCAAATTGTATCAGGGTCTCTCAGAATTCTCCCCGGAAGTCTCCTTTCCCATTTCTATTTCAGTGAACGTCCTGTATCTCTCAAGACTCACGGCAGCCATCATCATGCCTAGGAAGCTTGTTTTAACCTGTTCTCCCGAGTAAAACCGGCCTTCTTCCTGGGCCCCTCACTTTGCCCTGTTCAGACCTTCTACCCCAGCTCCTGAGATGCTCCATTGCTTCTCTTTGTTTCCATGTCAGCTGTGCCTGCCCCTTACCAGCCTTCGTGTTCCCACAGTCTGGAGCAGTAATGGGCTCCTTATGGAGGGAGGGAGGGAGGGAGGGAGGGAGGGATGGATGGATGGATGGATGGGTGGATGGATGGATGGATGGATGGGTGGATGGATGGATGACTGATAGATATATAGATTGGACTTTTGATTTTTCTATGTAATATTTTCTACTTGCCTAACTGAGTTCTCCTTGTACATCACACTGGTCTGGGACGGGCTCAGAGTTATGTTGCCATCTCTGTCGCAGTGGAAACTGTCCTCTGTCCAAATGTAGTAGCCGTTGGTGAGGAGTCTGGGACTTCGGCGACAGGGAAGGTGGGATCCTGTCAGGGGATCTATGGAGCAGCAGTCAAAGGAACTGTCACCATCCAGGAAATCACAGGCAAAACTAAAGAAGGAATAAGGAAAAATACCATGGAATATTACTCGGCCACAAAACAGAATGACATTTTACCATTTGCTACAGCATGAATGGACCTAGAAGGTATTATGCTAAGTGAAACAAGTCAGTCAGAGAAAGACAAAAACCATGATTTCACTTATATGTGGAGTCTAGAGAACAAAATAAACAAACAAACAAAATAGAAACAGACTCATAGATACAGAGTTCAGACTGATGAATGCCAGAGGGGAGAGGGGTAGGGAACTGGGTGAAAAAGGTGAAGGGATGAAGAAGAAAAGTCTTTTAAATCTCTGTCCACAACATCCAGTCACACAAAGTCCACATTTCTAGTTACTGCGAAGGAAAACACCTCTTTTCATTCATGGCTACCAGTGACCTCTGTGACCCCAAGAATGTCACTCTTAATCTTCTGGGCTTCATCTCCTCACCCATGAGAGCATAAACTACAGGATATTTTGTGCTTCTTTCTGTTTCAAACATGTGGATGGATCTATTATGGCTCATCGGTTTTGGCACCATGCAATGCACCTACGCCCTTGCCATTAGTCCATTTTTGTAGATGGAAAAATTGCAAAGCAGACTCTCTGGGTGTTGGGAGTTGATAGTCTCCTCCACCTTCATTACTTTGACTAGTCCTGCACTTGCTATATCCTTAATCTCATCACTATAATACATACTTTATAACTTCGCAGCCCCCAGACACAGAGGAGTGATGGGGTGAGCATGCAGTCAATGAGGTTGTTAGCCTCAGCCTTGGCCAGTTTTCCTCTAGGTCAGCTGCACAAATGTCTGTGCAGTTACCTTCCCTGATTCAGTTTCAGGGAAGTCTCCTATGTAGTTAAGTAAATCTGTATGTTTTAGGTCTGAAAAACAATCACACATCTGTATGATTGGAAAGCAATCTCATGCTCAACTGAATTTCTGATACATTTTAAAATTTAAAAGCATTCATAATTAATACATGGACTAAAGTTAGTCATACTATTTTAAATGGATGTTATTTAGTACTAAAAACTTACTATGGGCCTGGCCCATGCTTCATCCTTTATCTACTTTGGATAAAACCTTCCTAAAGCTCAGTATTATTAGCTTCACTGTGCAGCGGGGTGGGGGATGACATGCGGACAAGTAAATGACTTGGATACTTTGCATAGCTAGGAAGTGGCAGAGCTAGGATTTGAACTCTGGTCTAGCTGACTCTAAACATGTGCTCTTTCTACAAGACCTGCTTGTTCATCCTTGGATGATTCGTTGATAGTAGTAGTAGGCCTAGAATTTACAAAAACGGGCAGTTTCTAACACCAACGCATGATTCCTTTACCATTGGCACACTTCTCAAAATGCTTGAGGAAACATCTACTGCTGTTTGTATAGGGAATAAAAGGCAGACAGAGATACAGCGGAGAAAGAAAACAGACTTCATTGCAGAAATTGAACCAAATGGTAGAGTCCCCGTTTCAGCAGAACGAGGAATGTGGCTGGCTCGTGCGCTGGTGTAGAATCCTCTTGCTCTTATCCAGTGAGACAGAACCAGCATATTTAAGAGAATGTAAATTCGAGAAAAAGTAACCATACGTCCGTATTCAGTAATTTCTCCACTCACCAAACAATTCACGTTTGTCTACACCTTCACCCCCCCCATCCCCCCAAATGAAGTCTGTTATTAGGTTAGGCAAGTCTTCATTTTGTATGTGCGCGATACTGGGAATATATAGACCCACACCCAGCTGGCTGATACCCAAACTTGATGTTTTTAAACCAGGAACACAACACAACGATGCCTACAGGAAGAGCATGTGATTGAGTTGTCTTGTAAAAAGCCCCATGGAATACCTTGGGGACAGGCACGTGGGAGACAGTCCTCCAGCATACTCTCTCTCGGACCCAGAGGGACCTGCACAAGGAAAGGAGAGAAATAGACATTTACAGCCCTCACCGACACGCGGACAGCAGGTGTAAATGGCTGATGTCCCCGCCTCAGCAGAGACGCGAGTCAGCACTAACACAACCGGTCACCAGGCCTCCACGGGGAGCCAGAAATATTCTAGAGGCCCTGTCTGCTGCGTCTTCTCCTACTTCACACGCCTTTCGAGGTCCCTCAGTGCAGGATGAGGCAGTAAGAAGTTATTAGCGCCCTGGCTGTTTTGGCCCAGCGGTTAGAGCATCAGCCTGTGGACCAGAGAGTCCGGGTTTGGTTCCCGCTAGGGGCACGTACCAAAAATAAATAATTAATAAATTAATAAATTAATTTTAAAAAGAGAAGTCATTCGCATGAAATTGACTGCTGAAAGGGAGGAAGAAAACGTCTTGTGTGAAGCTGTAGAAAACCGGAGTCAATTGCCCAGTGTGCTGGTTATTTTCACTGACTCCGTAATTCAGTCATCTGCTCGGAATCTCTCTCACAAGTGCACTTTAAGGCACTTCTATTGTAAAATAATGAGCAAATAAATAAATACATAAATAAAGTTTTGCTTCCTATAAATGATTTTCTAATGTAGGAAGCCTGGGAGTATTCTTAATTAAGTTACAAGAGCATCCATCCATTCATCCCGTGTAACCAAAAGCGTGGCAGCAGGTTTCAGCTGGGGCAAGTTGTAGTTAAGGGATAGCCTAAGCTCAGGAGCTGAATTCTGTATTCCATGGAAATGCTAGGACATCAGATTAATTCCCATCTTGACCCCTCTTCTACTAGAGAGGCTCAGGGAAATTTGATTCCATTACCGCCAAGTCATAGCTAAGTAAAGAGAGGAATTAGACGTTTAGTTTGGGCTGGCTGATTTATAAAAAGACGTAGTACACAATGGAATGCTACTCAGCCAGAAGGAAAGACAAAATACTGCCATTTGCAACATCATGGATGGACCTAGAGAATATTACGCTAAGGGACATAAGTCAGTCGGAAAAAACTAAGACTCATGATTTCACGCATACGTGGGATATAAAACTGTAACTGGCGGACACAGACAACAACAGTGTGGTGGTTGCCAGGGAAGGGGGAGGGTCGGGGGTGGAGGGGGCCTAAGTACGGTGAAGGAAGATGGTTTGACTTTGGGTCAATGGCACCCCAGTAAGTTTAATAAAAACAATAAGAAAGTAGTGGGTGTGTGAGGGAGGGGTGCAAGCAGGGTTTGGGCAGAGAACAGAGGAAGGAAGAACCTTCAAACCACTACCGTTTCAAGAAGTTAGCTACACCCTTGTTTTCTGCAAGTCGCTCTCAAAGTCATTCAGTATTTTTTTAAATAGACAAACAGTTTTGCATCTTAATAGTAGCTGATAAACAATCTCCTTTCACATTTATGCATAGGCATCTAAAAAAAACCGTGATTTTTTTTTTTCTACTAAAAGGAAAAATATCACATTTCTCTCAAGGAAAGAAATGAAATCAAAATCATTGCCAACGTGAACACAGGCATTTAAGCACAAGCTACTGACAGATGGTTAATGGTATGAGTATCAGCAAAATCAAAGCAAGGAAATTGCTAAAAGGAGTCTAATCATTCAGAAGATAATTGCGTATAGCAATTCGCCCACATTTACTTGCCACTGGCGTTGGCATCAGTTGAGATATTCGGTACATCTTGGGAAGGCTGCTTGTTCAAACTTCACAGATTTTTCTGCAAAAGATGTTTTTTAAAAAAGGTGGATCACATATTAAAAATAGAAAAGTGATGCCAAAACAGATGGCGTCTACTAATTGCATTACTAGGGTTTGTATACTGAAATAATGCAGAGATGTTGGACAGAAGGCAGGGGACCGGGTGGGAGGACCCCTGAGGTCAGCCTGCCTCTATGATTTTCTATTACATTCTCCATTGTCTTGCTCTGCGCATCTAAATCATCTTTTCCTGTAAATAATATCAACATTGTCTTTGGGAAAGGCTAGACTTGCAATGGTTGACTTGTCATCAAAATAAAATAATAAAAATGAGTTATTTGATTAAGAAAAAGGGGGACATCTGTAACTGTGTCAATAATACATTTTAAAAAAAGAAGAAGAAATCTGGAAAAGAGATTGGTTCCAGAGACTTCTAAATAAAGTTATTTATATCATCATCACCCAAAACACATTCACCTCATTATCAAGTTTCAAATAATGCTTGGGATTGGTGTCTGCCTCTTGTCCAACACCTTGAGCCATTGACAGGTAGTCACAGAAAAGGCCAGTGGTCTTTTGGACTTGCTATCAGCCTGGACATTCCTGAGCTGCCCGAGCAGAATTTACACTAAAAATAGTACACCGTTGGGCAGATTTCAGAACTCGGGGCTCACGAATACATTCTGTACATTCTCAGCTACAAATTAAACATACACCCAAGTGTGTAAAGTATGTAAACTATGTAAACTATGATCTTTTACCACTCAGCACATAGATCTATCTTCTCTTCACTACTCATCTCTGTAGACATCACTATCCTAACATCTTTATAAGGTGGGACTGAACGCTTTTCCGGTTCGCCACCTCTATACATTTTTTAAACGTGATAACTCGTGATGCGTTGTTTCTATAGCTGTGACACACGAAATTAACCGAGGATAATTCTGTAGCCCTAGATAGATGCTTGCAACAAAATATATACAGAGCCTATTTGAAAATATTGATCCTAGCTTATATACACCTTTAGATTCAGGAGAACTTTCTGGCATTCCTTGGATGATCTCTAAAGCAAAGCACACATTCATTTGTGTGGAATATAAAATAATTTGTTTTGCTATAATGTAATAGCATGCCACTTGTCCTTTGATATTTTCATCAATATAATATGAATTTATCCTGCCCAAATGACCCTATGTTAATTTTTCCCAAGCATTAAGTTTAATTTGAAGCTAACATATCCTGTAGCAGAAAGCAAGGTCTGTAGGATACAGTCTGTAGGATACAGTCTGTAGGATACAGTCTGTAGGATACTTGTAGCAGGCTACAGGCAGTCCACCAACAGTTAAGTGAGTATCAGTAACACTGAAAACGACTTCAGTTAACAGCTCTAAAACTTCTCAAGAAACAGATCCTATCTACCAAGCTCATCAAAGCAACACATCTGTTTGAAAAAATAATTTGCCCACACACATTCTTTCCAAAGGGAGTCCCCAGTCTGTCTTTCCAACGGATAGATAATAAAATAGTTACTGAAATAGGAAGCTTCCCGAGTCTGACCACCAGCGGAGAAATCCAGGACTCAGCGGTTCTTCAGCTGCAAACAATGTCAGAGTGTCAACAGGTGCAGACGCCTCTTAGGAAAGGGGAATCCCCGTCTTTCCCTCCTCCTACGGGGTGCCTGCACACATCACTGATGCAGGCGTTTGCAGAGTTTTGTCTTCAGCCGCCTCTTGTTCTTTTGATTGTTTCCTAGAATAGAGGAGCGCGTACTTGGGAAAATCAGCCTTCAAATGGCTCTTGTTTTCTTTCAAAAACAGCCTGTGAAACCAGAGGCTGAGCGGCAGAGTGAGGTCACACTTCCTGTTGGGCTCACATCAGTGGCAGTCATGCTGAGGAGCACGGTGAAGACTCAAGATCGTCTCCTGGACCAGCAGTGGGGGATGTGCAGTCCTTGAGTCTGACCAGCGGGGTACAGAGGGTCACTGGGAGTTGCTTTTCTGAGCTCACTCGGCACCCCCAGCTGCGAGAGCATAAGAAAAACTCAGAGAAGCCACAATTCCTGCTGATCATCTCCTGGCCATTTTCGGTATGAATCATGCATAGTAGTGCTTTGTTCAAATCAATTACATTTATTGGTGGCAATGCACGGATGCTATTAAATTCAGAATGCTATTGAATACCAGAAGCTTGGTCTTGCACTGGGAACACATTGATCCAGCAAACATTGGGCTTTACAGGAAACTCTGGGTGGCAGTGCACATTCTATATTTACATTTTAGTAGAGCTCAAAAACTTGATCTTGTCCGGCCCGTGTGGATCAGTGCTTAAGTGTTGACCCTGCACCAGGAGGTCGCCGGTTTAATTCCCGGTTAGGGCACATGCCCAGGTTGTGGGCCCAATCCCCAGTGGGGAGCATGCAGGAGGCAACCCATCCATGTTCTCGCTCATTGATGTTTCCATCTCTCTCTCTCCTTCTCCCTTCCTTTCTCTCTCAAATCAATAAAGGAAAGCATTTAAAAAACAAAACAGCCCTGGCCGGTTTGGTTCAGCGGTTGGAGCGTCGGCCTGCGGTCCTGAGAGACCCGGGTTCGGTTCCCGCTGAGGGCATGTACCTCGGTTGCGGTTTGTCCCTGGCCCTGGTTGGTTGTGTGGGTGGCGGCCGCTCGATGTGTTCCTTTCACATCGATGTTTCTCTCTCTCTCTGTTCCTCTCTCTCCCTCCCACTCTACCTGAACAAAAAATGGAAAAATGTCCTCGGGTGAGGATAAAAAAAACAAACAAAAAAACCCCCCAAAAAAACCTTGGTCTTGGTGTTTCTCTATTGATCTCTGCTCTTGTAAGTGATCGAAGAAATATATTCATTCCAGCAACACTGAGGTGCACTGGGTCATGGAAAGAATGTGGGTTCTGGAGTTACACCGACTGTGATTCAAACTCTGTCCTCCATACTAGCTGTGTGCCCACAGGTTTGTGACTTAACCTGTTTGAGCTGCAGTACTCTCGGTAATAAATGTAATGATGTCTATTCCCAAGGATGGCTTGGAGAACGAAGTGGGAGGAAAGGAATGAGACATAAATGAGTCCTCGGCTCAGACGCGCAAGACGCGATCCTTATTTGTTTCCTGTAAACCAACCTCTGCGTTTCCCGTTGGTCAGGCTGGCAGAAAAGCTCATCTCATTTGTTCTTGGGTTCCTTTTCCCCTTAAGATGATGCACTGGCAGGTCTCCTCTAGAACCTGCCCCAGGCAGCAGGAGCTGTTAGGAGAGCCTGTGGTCGGCAGCTTTCAAAGGCGGCCCTCAAGGGTCCTGTGTAATCTCCTCCCCTCGAGGGTGGGCTGCAACTAACTTCTGCATCTGCATTGTGAGTATTAACTACCCTGATTAGGCTACAAAAGACAGGGACTTCCGTCAAGGAGGTTTGCCCACTTTGCTGAAGCAAGCTGCACGTTGGAGGAGCCCACGGGGCCAGCATCGGACGGCTGTCTCAGAATGCCTGTGAGGAAGCGAGGCTGTCAGCTTCACAGCCAGGAACCCAGCCAACAGCCCTGCGAGGGAGCCTGGAAGTGGGTCCCCTCCAGTTGAGCCTTGAGACGACTGCAGTCCCAGCTAACTCTTTGGTCGCAGCCTGTGAGACACCAGAAGCCGAGGAGTCAGTTTAGTGTCGCCCAGATTTCTGGCCCACTGACACTCTGTCATTACAAATGGTGTTTTAAGGCACCAAGTTTTGGAGGAACTTATTATACAGCAGATCACTAGTAATACATACTCCTAGCAGACGTTACCTTCTGAGGCCTCTGTTATCCAGGGCCACTTGGTCAGTGTGCCTGTGCTGCTCTGGTGCCATCATCAGAATACAGGCACATTAATTCAAGATTGAGTCTAGTCATGCCTGCCGGGGTTTACCAGATAGCCATTCGACTCTACAGCTGTGCCAGGAGTTGGGGATTGTCTTTAACATCTCTCCTCCTTCTCATCCTCTTTCTGTTGCTCCATTCTTTAATTCCTCGTCCTTCTCCTTCCAGCCTTGGCTACCGTCTTCTGGAGAAGCCGAGACTCCGACTCCTTCAAGGCCCTCTCCTCTGTGCCCACAACTCTCAGTCTACGTTCTGGTCCTTGAAATTGGAAAGTGGAGAGGCCCTTTGAGGACTTGGATTGTCCTAATCTCTTTGATACCAAGCTGGCATGCCTCTGGCTGTACAAAAACAGTCCACAACTTTTTATGTATTTGATTCTAATCAGTTATCTGTGCCAGTGTTCATACCTACACTTTTTGAAACATACCTGTCTCTCTGACACTTTGCCCGTTTCTTGGGTATTTGTCATGTGTCATATGAGTAAATCATGGGCATGGCCTTGCAAGAATTTTCAAACTTTTTGGTTTTTAGAACTACATCATGTTGGCGATATGAGACATGATTAGATTGTAAGATCAGAATGACACCAGGGGCTGTTTTCCCTGTAGGTAACGTGAGGGTAGGGATGGGGACTTATCTATTTGGAGAACATAGTATTTTAGCTTCGAGTGGTCTACTAAGAAAAGACAAAGAAATCAGAGAAATGGCAAGCAAGGATACATGTGGGTTTATTGAAACTGGCCTCTCAGCTCCCTTGTGACGATATTAGAGCGTCTCATGTCCGGAGGGCGACAGAAGAATGGAATCTCCAATGGTTTCCTTCTGAGTTTTAGAATCTGCAATTTCCACATAGAGTCACTGCAGTCCTTTTCTTATTTGACTTTAGATTTGATTTTGTTATCATCGATGATCTCAAACTTGGTTGCTAATGTGTCTTTTTAGGATTTATACATTAATGCACTGGAATTCCTGTCTCAAAAACGCTCCAGATATGTCCCTCCTGTCTGACCAAGGTTCATATTTGAATTGCAGGGGGAGTAATTTTTTTTTTTTTTTTTTTGAGAGGAGAGATGAAGAGAGACAGTCTGAGAAATGAGGGGTGGGGCAGAGGAGACCTGAGAGAGACTGATTAGCTAGTGAGAACCCTATAATAAAGTCTTAACAGTTACATTCTTGGTTACAAGAACAGTGTCCTATTCATCTCTGTAATCCTCAGGAGCAAATACAGGGCTTGACGCAAAGTAAGTCCTTAGAAAATGGTTTTTCCGTGGGATCAATGAAGAGAGAAACCGGGACTAACCTCAGAGTCAACAACGACTAGATCCAGGGCTCCCGGGGAAAGGTGAGGAAGGAATGTTGGGAAACACCTGCGATGTGCATATCAATTATAATTTATAAAACATATAAGGCTTGTTCTGTCCAATTTAATCCTCTAAACAACTCTAGGAAGTGGATTTAAAATTCCCATTTACCACCCTGGCCGGTGTGGCTCAGTTGGTTGGGTGTCATCTCATGCACCAAAATGTTGCCAGTTCAATTCCCAGTCAGGGCACATGCCTGGGTTTCAGGATCCATCTCCAGTAGAGGGCACACAGGACAGGAGGCAGCAGATTGATGTTTCACTCTCCCATCGATGTTTCTCTCTGTCTCTCCCTCTCCCTTCCTCTCCCTCTAGAAATCAATAAAAAAATATTTTAAAAGAAAGCACCCACTGCTATCTCTCAGTTTGGGAGGTGCCAGCAGACCTGACTGGGAGGTGCTGGGGGTAGTGTGTAAAATTCCCATTTACCTGTGAACAAAGGAGAATCAGAGAAGTGTCTGTTCCCTGAAAACTCTGGTAACAGTGTCAGGTCTAATTTACAACCCCTGGTCCCATGCCAAATCACTGGCTCTAATATGCTTTCTTATTTTAAATTGCTATTAAAAACCAGTATCAAGAAGTAATTTAATGTCTTGATTCCCTTCAAATGTATAGTCTCTTATTATCTTCATGATACCCATTGTCCAAAATACAAATGAAAAGAAAAGAGATGATGGAAATCAAAGGGTGTCTACCCTCAGCCTGGTGAAACTGGCTCTGTTGAATGTTGTGCAAAAATACAAAAGATGAAGTAATCCGATACCTGACCACAGGGTTGTGTTGCCTCAATGTTTTCTACTATGGCCAAACCACGGACTGTGGCAAAGCCAGCGGTACCACATTCTCCACCCAGGCCAAGCCTCTTCCCTTCCCCAGAGGGGCAATTGTTTCATCTGAATGTCAGGTAATTCCCTTGGAGACACTGGTGTTGTTTTCTGGCACCAATCAAGAGGACAGACGCTTGGACAAATTGCAAGTGACCAGTTAGAGCACATAATCTAACCCTACTCATCCTGCATGCTACTTATAATTTTGATTTTTTATACTTATACTGTATCAAATTTACCTGTTGGGATGTTGGCCTCACTTCCAAGTGCCTTATGATCAGGAATTAAGCTTATTCATTGTTATGCTCCTTAGGCCTAAACTCTGTACTTGGCACATTGTAGGTGTTCAATAAATGCTTGTGGGAAAGAAACACAAATAGAAGGATTTTTAAAAAAAATTTGTCAGAGGCTTGAATCAAAACTAGAAAGAACCATAGAGCAATAATAATTTTGTAGCCTGTACAGAACTCTTCTTTGAAACACACTCATCCTTCAAAACATATTTCAAATGCCACTTCCTCTATGTGGTCTTCCTTGATTTGCTGAGTCAGAATGAGCACACTCCTACAGTACAGTATCTCTATTGCACATCGATAAATATTTATCTTTCTATTGTACTTGGTTGTTTCTTACCCACCTCCCCATTATGGCAAGTCACCTTAGTATTGGTTACCTCGTTTGATTTTTCTTCCTGTTCTCTCCACATGACCCATTTTGTAGCATTAGGTAGAACCTCAATATAAGTTTGTTGAATGAATAAACAAGTAGATGAGGGATGGAAGAATGCA